TCCCCTTTTTTACCTCTTTCCAGGAAGCGTTCCTGCCAGACCCAACACCAGGAAAAAGAAACCCAGCAAAACTACCAAGAACCTACCTGGAGCACAAAGACCTCGGATTTACAAGACTTGACACTCAGAGACATTCATATCATTTATTAGGAGTTGCGCTTTGACATTTTACTTGGGATTTTCCAGACTCCACTGGATCCCCTTGGATATAGGGTTTGGGGTTTTTTATATATATATATTGTGACAAAAGTATATTGCCATATTTCTAACTGGACTGAATCTTTTTTACAGGTTTTCAATTTTGCATTCCCTCTCACTCAGAGCCTCTTCCAACACCAACCCAGACACACCTCACAGGGCTCAAAGGGTCTCTGGTTTAAGTCCTAGTCCCTCCACCTCGTCAGGGATAAAGGAGATAAGCCACATCCATGCATATTCCCAGTGTGGGATCCATACACGCCTTCATAAAGCCACGGCTCTTTCTGCTGGGAGAGTCAGTTGGAGAGAAGTCAGACTTTTGTGCAGCGTTTCTGATTGCCTCTTGATTTATTCTTTCTCTTTTTTAGCTCGAGGGGAGCTTGAGACTCCACAGCCACATGCAGAGGAGGTTCCTCCCCGGTGGGGCTCAGGCCCCCCATGTGTGAACACAGTAGGGTTTTGTGGTGTAGCCTATGCACACACCTCCATAGTTGGCTAGATTTTAAGGACTACTGGAAGTTGCTTCAAGTATCTTATACTGTGAATTTTAGAGCTTTAAGAGGACTGTGATAGCATCTCGCCTTCCTCCTGTGTGTCTCTGCCGAGTGCTACCTACCTGTTTGTGTTTTCTAGATGCCATTAAATTAAAAAGCCCTTTAGAAGTGTGTGTTTAAGGTGTTTGGACTCGGAATGCTATTAAGGTAGGCTTAGGCAGCATTCACAGCAACTGGGGGGTTTTCAGTGTCATAGTTTTTCACTTGTTTGTGTTCAGGTTTTTAACTTAGGGGGGTATTTTGTAAGTCATGGGTTGGGTTTTTTGCCTCCCCTCACAGTGCTGTTTAAAGCTAAACACGTTACCCACATACCAGGGCATGTGTCCTACTATCATTTCGTTTAAAACCCTTTAGACAATCCTTCTTAGGCCTGCAAGCTGTAGTTGGAGAGGCTGAACAAGGAATCCTAGGAGGTATCAGGTGTTTGCTCTTCATGATAGAGCTAAACCATGTAGAAAGTGCTTCCACCTTCTCTTCCACGCTGGCTTAAGGGTCTGTACTTTGTATGGCTTCATGACCACCTTGCTGGAATGACATACCAGGGTTAGTATCAGCTTTAGGCTGAGCTTAAAGACCACTGGGGCATGGCGATGACCAGAAAACATCATTTTGGGGGCTGGATGCACTTCCCTCCGTAGCACTGGGGACTGAGCTCCTGCTGCTGCTTCCTGAGCTTTGTGGAGATGTTCTAATCATGCCCTGGTTTCTCCCTGCAGGCTTTAAACTTAAATCCAGGCTTTGTAAAGAGTCTGCCCAGACACTTGTGAACACTTTAGTACACATTGAGGTTGTGATTTTTGTATATATATATATATATACATCTATCTCTAGTGTGGCACATTGGTAGCTGAGGGCATGGAGTGCTCTGCTGCTGCTCCTCAGGTGAGGATGGGAAGAAAATGGCAATAAAGCAAGCTCTCTGCTGTTTTAAATTTGGATCATGTGTTTCAGGAGTGCTTCAGTGAGGACTTGCTGGTTGGCTGCAAACAGCCTTCAACTCCCCTGGGCCTGGTGTAGCTACTCAGAGTCAGGTACAACTTGAATGAAGCTCTCAGTGTTGATGATTGGAGACTGTGCTGAAGATGCTGGAGCTCCAGGATTTTGCTTCCTTTGAGTTTTGCTGGTGTGGGTCACCCTCAGCCTCCAGCATTCCCATGCTGGTAGCTGCTTCCTGGGCTGCTCCGGGTGCATGGTTCCCTCCCAGGATGCTCTGCCTTCCACTGGGAACCTGGCATCCTACGCTGGGATTTAGGGAATCCTGGGCTCCACAGCTGTAGTGTAGAGATGAAGTCTTCCTATCTATGCCTGAACAGTCCTTTCCTTCTTTACTCTGCAGGTCCTTGGACAGGTCTGTGTCCCTGCTGCCCTCAACTTAGTTGGGTAACACTTGCCTTAAACACCCACCATGTTGAGCATCCCTCTGAGAATGTCCCTTTGCCTCAGTCCTTCCTTCTCACCCTGTAGCAGGTACCTGAGGAGTAACCAGACACACTGAGGAGAGTCAGGAGGAGGATTTCTGAGCTTTGCCAGACAAAGCCAGCGGGATAAATCCCGTTTGTCCATAGCACTTAAAGACACGTGGCTGGCACGAGGAGTTAGGGAAATGTGGTGTGAGGCTGAAGCTTGGTCTGGGGTGTTCACTTCAGGTGTCCTGAGTGGGACAGAACACCCTGAGCAGGGATTTCTGGGGTGAGAAACCTGCTGGCACGAGAGGTGGTTCCTTTCCAAAAGGATTTGCTCACCATGGCTTTGTACATCCCTTTTTTTAAGGACTCCTAGACTAGAGTAACTTTTTTCCTCCTGGATTTCGGGTGGCTGTTCCCAGGCTGTTCATTCTCACACTTCCCCCTTCTAAGTTCTTGTTTCTCCTTGAGTGTTTTAACCAAGTTACTGCCTCATGTGCCCTCTGCCATCACCCTGCTCTGACCCCAGGGGGATGTCCAGCCCTGCTGACCCTCTCCAACCACCACAGCCTCCTCCATGCAGCACCCGAGCCAGGAGCCGGACAGGAGCAGCAGCAGCAGCCCTGGAAGAAGATAAAAGCTCAGAGCAAACGAAGCTTCTTCCATCCTCAGTGGTGCTGCCCACACCTCTTCCACCTCCAGTGGGATTGGCAAGTCCTTGGCTCTTGGCGTGCTGTGTCATTTCTAGGGACAAACCAGCTAAGTAAGGTCTATTTATATGAATGTTCCCAGCTCTTCCCACTCCACAAATTCACCCAGAGACTGTCTTGATTGTATAATATACATTATATGGAAGCTATTTATATATGAATGAATGTTTTTATAGAAAGGAAGGCAAGGAGCTCGTGTTCTCCCGCCTCCATTAAACTGGAATGGCAGCTCTGGTTGCCAAACAGCAATCTCTGACCAGCACAGATGTGTTAGCAAAGGACTGACTGATTTCTGCTTTTAATAAACTGTGGTTTGCTGATTTTCCTCATTGTACCATTCCCTTCAGAGGTGGTCGTGTCCCAGCCTTAGAGAGGAAACTTGTAAAGGAACAGGAGAATTTAGCTGAGCAGATGAAGGAGCTTTGTAACACTCTTGAAGGCGATGGTGGATTGTCTAGGCTAGCTGTTTACACTTCTTTCTACAAATAGGAACTTTTCAATGGGCAAATCTTTATAGATCCACTAGTGCTGGAGCTGTTCTTTTGGACTCCCATAGGGAATCAAAGGGAAAGTTGCTGTAGCGTTTAGAGCGACCCAAGTGTTCAGTATTGCTTCTTGTACTGCATTTTCCAATAAATTTTCAAACAAAACTGTCCTCTGACCCTGAAGCCTTTTTCCCTTCTCCTCCCCCTCCTCCAGGTCTCTCTTCCCAGCCTGGCTATGTAGCAATTTCCCTTGTCCAACCTAAGCCAGACCCCTGGCCTCTGGACCGCGTCTGCTGCTGTGTGCAGCGATACCCAGAGCTCCCCCCAGCCCTGTGCTGTGTGTTCCTGCACTCCCAGTGCTTTCAGACCCTTAATCAGCTCCAGGGGGGCCACAAGTGGGACCAAGACCCCCAGAAAGAGCCAAACAGGAGCCCCAGAGTCCAAGTTTTCCCTAAAGCATCACTGCTCCGTGTCAAACCTCCCTTTAAGCTGCTGAGTTTGAGGCGAGCGCTGGTGGAGGTTCCTGCCCAGCGGCTGCCTGACCCTGAGCTGGAGCTGGGGAGATGGTGTCCAACACATCCTCTTTTGTCTGTCTGTCTGTTCCATCTCATTCCTGTGGCCGCAGCAGCTGTGGGAGGGACAGGGATACCCAGCAGAAAGCTGATGGGGCATCTTGGCCACCAGCCCCGTAGAGAACAAAACCCAGTTGGCCCAGTTAGGACTGCTGGAGATGGGGAACGGTGGGAAGAGCATCCCTATGGCAGAGGCAGCCCTGGGCTGGCTGTGGTATCACTCCTGTGCCTCAGCTTCTCCAGCAGACAGAAGGGGAAGGGTCACACAGCCCCATGCTGTCCCATGTCTACATTCCCATGCTAAAAGCAACATGAAGTCAAGCTGCGTCTTGTGTCACGCTGCCTTTGGCCACTTTGCTTCCAAGCAGCTCCATGTCTTCAATCTGAACACAAAGAGCCACAGAGATCAGCCTGGGATCGTTGGGGACCGGCCACCGCCGGAGCTGCTGTTCCATAACATGTCACAGCAGCTTGAATCACTTCCAACAAGGAGGCCGAGTGGAACATCATGTTATTCCCTGCAGCCAGCACGGGCTGTGGCAGCCCCGGGCTTCTCGCCTTGTCCAACCCAATTAGGGTCACACCAAGAGATGCTTAAATAACCCTGTCCTGGGGAGCTGGGGCTTGGGGGGTGCCCTGAGCCTTCAGATAACACATTGGGGTGATGAGCCGCAGCCAGGCAGGAGCTGCAGCTCCAAAGGCATCGTGTTAGGGGGCAAACAGCCAAGGAGTAGTGGAATTCATCTGCTCAGCTGCACTTCGGGGTGTCAGACCCTGCTCGGCCAAAGACAACCATGGGATGGTTTGGGTTGAAAAGACCTTAAAGCGCATCCAGTCCCAACCCCCTGCCATGGGCAGGGACACCTTCCACTAGAGCAGGTCCAGAGCACCTCCCGAGCGGGACCAGGCAGGAGGGTTTGTGTGTGTGGTGTTTTGCCTGGCTACAGGGAAGGGAAAACATTGGGTAAACAAACACCATGGCAATGCCCAGAGAGGCAAAAAACACAGCGGAACCCGAAGCAAACCCCTTGTCCCACCACCAGCAGAAGGCAGCAGCAGCCCACAGCTCCCTGGGGGCCCAGCCTGGGCTCCTGGGTGGCCCCACGCCAGCTCCAGCCCCTGGATCCCACACTAAAGTCTCCATCTTGTGGTCCCATCTTTTAGGAAGGAGCCACAGAAGCCATTTCCCTTCATCACCCATCCCTGGTCCTTCCTGGGGTCTCCATCCCAGACCCCGACCAGGAGGAGCAGCCTCCATCACTCCATGAGCAGAACATTCCCATTCAAGCACCAGCTCGTTCCAGCCTGGGCTATTTT